TATTTGGTTCTCCAGCTTTATGGTACTGTTGTAATTAAAATGTATTTAAAAAATGATTTTCAAATGAAGGATATCATTCATACTATTGTCCATGGAGTCCCAAGTATTATTCTCAGTCAGTCGGTCAGCTACAACGTAGGACCAGGCACATATATGCATCGGTCCAAGTTGCCATACCTCGTTAGCACAACAAGAGGAACACCGGATTCATAGTAGTTAATCTAGTGTTGGTAGTAGTATATAAATTATAGGTTGTATATAAGGATATAGTACAGGAAGGAAGAGAGATATGAAGCAATTTTAGTCTCAAGGTTTAAGGGAAGATAAAGAGTGTATACACCTACGCCATTGTGACCGATTCTGAGCCATGTCACCTAGAGTCTCCAACCATTGGTTACGATAGTCATGCGGACCCCAACCAAGTAGTCTGCATCTGCCAACATGGCTCAGACTAGAACTTAGTGACTTCAAGGACTGATGCCACGTTTTGGTTTGGCAGCCCCTAACTCTCTTCCAACCATACCCAACACTAGTCATCATAGCGCGTCGTGGTAATCGGTGTTCAGGCATACGTAACACATGGCCCAACCATCTCAGTCGATGAAGATTCATCACCTCATCAACTGATTTACCATCGTTCCCTAATACCCTGCGTCTAACCTCACTATTACTTACTCGGTGATCCCAGCAGATGCGAGCAATATTTCTAAGGCATCTGTGGTCAAATACTAGTAACCTACGAGTATCTTCTACTCTTAATGGCCATGTTTCACAGCCGTAAAGTAGGACAGAGCGAACTGATGCGCAGTATACTCGTCCCTTAATTGATAGACGGATATCTCGTCTACGCCATAGGTGACGTAAGTTGGCAAAAGCCAAACGAGCTTTTTGAATCCGTGCTGAGATTTCGTCTGACACCAACCCATTAGGGCTGATCAGACTTCCAAGATAAGTGAAGTTGTCGACGCGTTCGACTACTTCACTCCCTATCCTTAGTTCGAGTGTTGACGCAGGCCAGTCCTGGAGTAACAATTTACATTTGGATGGGGAGAAACGCATCCCAAACATCCTGGCATTATTACTGAGTTCCAACAGAAGACTCTGCATTTTGCCAGCGTCCTCACGAAACAGGACTATGTCATCTGCGTATTCTAAGTCGATTAGTGGTCCCCCTGGTAGGAGATCAATTTCTGAAAATTCAGTCGACGAGAGTGTCATTTGCAGCAACAGGTCTATAATGAAGTTAAACAAAAATGGGGATAGTGGACAGCCTTGTCGGACACCACTTGAGGTTGTAAAATCATATGACAGTTCGCCATAAGCTCTCACTCGACTGGTAGTGTTCGAGTAAAGAGCCTTCACAAGGTTTATGTACTTCTCAGGTACACCTTTCAATGACAGACACTGCCACAGAACCTATCGGTCTACAGAGTCAAATGCTGCTTTCAAGTCAAGAAAAACTATCATTATCGGACGCCGATAAGCGTGTCTGTGCTCTAAAACTTGACGAATGGTGAATATGTGGTCGATACAGCCACGACCAGGTCTGAAGCCAGCCTGATTTTCTCGTGTTTGCAGTTCACGAGTCTTAGTTAGGCGCCCGATAATTATTGAGGCTAGTATTTTAGATGCTATGTTAGTCAGACTAATCCCTCTATGGTTATCGCAGGATGATTTTGACCCCTTTTTATATATTGGGACAATCAGTGATTGTGACCAGTCGGATGGGATTACATCCGTCTCCCAGATTTTAGCCAGAATATTAGTCAACCTAATCGCTAAAATTGGACCACCGTATTTAAAAACCTCTGGAACCAATCCATCAGGACCAGCTGCTCTTCCTCGTTTCAGATTACCTATAGCCTTTTGAACTTCAAGTAGGGTCGGGGGGCCTACTTCAATGTTCCATTCAGGTTTTCTGGGAATAGTGGGTAGTTGTGCAGTAGCTGAAGGCCAGCTAAACTGCTCCTTAAAGTGTTCCGCCCATCGTTCTAAACGTTTAGGTTGAGAGCAGATAAGGGTTCCGTCTTTTTCCGAGATTGTCTCACTCACACTTGACTTCTTAATTCCGGTTTCTTTTATTAGTCTGAATAGTTGCCTGGTGTTGCCTACAGCCGCTGCCTTTTCCATCTCTTTTGCTTTCGTTGCCCACCACTGCTCACGATCGTTCCTTAGGCTTTTAGTTAACCTAGATCTAATTTGTTTATGCTCTTCGTCATGTTCAGAGCCTGATGGGATGAGTTTACGCGAATCCATCAGTGAAATAGACTTAGAGGAAATCCACTGGTTTTTTGGAGCCCTATGGTTTAAATGACTAATAGATGTTACTGCCGTTTCCACAGCTGTTCGTGTGTCTTTCCAAGCAGCATCTGGGTCAGTCTCGTTTACAGAACTGCCTAGATGTGAACTCAGTTGCTTCTGGAATTCGCATTTGGCTTTCTCGTCCTCCAGTTCAATCCTAATGGGTCTTCTTAGTGTACTTTTCCTGCGTCCATTGAGGCGCAGACAAATGCGTGCTCGTATTAAAGCGTGATCAGAGTCTAAACAAGTATTCCAATACGAGCGACAATCTTCTATTGAGCCTCTCCAACGATGACTGATGACAATATGGTCTATTTGAGTCCATCGTTGGTTTGGTGCAGGTGGTCGCCATGTTAGACGATGTCTCTCCTTATGTTTAAAATTAGTGCTTGCTAAAAATAAACGATTGTCTGAGCATAGTTGCAACAGACGATCACCATTATCGGTTCGTTGAGCCGGAATACTAAAACACCCACCTAAATGTCTTTCTGTTTGATTTAAGCTGCCTACCTGGGCATTAAAGTCACCCGCTACGACTACTATATCTGAGCGCTTAGCTTTCTGAAGAAGCTCAGAGAGTTTTCTGTAAAAGTCATCTTTTACTTCATCATGGCTGCAGTCAGTGGGAGCGTAGGCAGAAACGACGAAAAGGCAACGACGTGTGTCCCTATCCTTCCGAGTTCTTATGGAGCCATTTAGCCGGACAGCACACAGGCGACTGTTAACGGGGATCCATTCTAGTAGTGCCTGTTCTGCCCTTGTACTTAGTGCTATGCCTACACCTGCAAGTCCGCGAGAACTAGCCAACGGGTCGCCAGATACACGGAGGGTGTATTTCGTCGGCTATCCATCTTGGCGAGGTGAGGTCAAGTGAATGACCACACTGGGATCCTGTATGCGTGTTTCGGAGACACAGCATACATCAATGGTACGAGATTCTAGGGTTTTAGCTAAGGAGGCCTGTTGACCGATTTGGCGTAGGGTACGTACGTTGAAGGCTCCAATGTGTAGTTTGGAGCGAGGTTTAAGTAGACCTGGGACAGCGTTTCGCGCACTAGAATCGTTGGCCATGGTTACACTTGAGGAGGAAACCGAGAGAGGAAGTTTAGTGTTGAAAGTCAAGGTAGAGGGAATAGTAGGAAGTAAAGAAGGAGATTGATTATGAATACAGTGGTCTTGAGTGTTGTTAGAGGTATGAGGGCAGTTATCACTTCCCGGTTGCCCACACCGTGGAAGGATTCTTCTAGAGGTACCTGAAAAGGAAATTGGGTTAGGAGTGGTCTTAATGACCTGAGAGCGTGACCGCACTTGAGGAGGAAACCGAGAGAGGAAGTTTAGTGTTGAAAGTCAAGGTAGAGGGAATAGTAGGAAGTAAAGAAGGAGATTGATTATGAATACAGTGGTCTTGAGTGTTGTTAGAGGTATGAGGGCAGTTATCACTTCCCGGTTGCCCACACCGTGGAAGGATTCTTCTAGAGGTACCTGAAAAGGAAATTGGGTTAGGAGTGGTCTTAATGACCTGAGAGCGTGACCGCAGTGCCCAAGGGACAACTGCTTGAGGTCGGTCACACACGACCTTTTTGTGTTAGCTCCGTTCTTCAAAAAAAAACCTTACCGCCGGAGACGGAAATCCGTGGGATAAGGCGAGGTGTGCATTTTTAGGGTCGACCTATTCTAACCCCACCCCTCCTTGTGGGAAGGCAGCATCGCTGTCATGCTGGTTGTCTGAAGGAAACACCTTACTGCCGTCACACCTCTGTACAGTCAGCAGTACGACTTCGCCTTCGGACCTTGGGTTTGCTGCTTTTAGTCTCACCGCTCTTCAACCGACCTGTCTGGCATGGTAGGACCTCGAGGAACGACTGTTCCAGCCAGCATAGCTCGATTGCTTCATCACGATAGGCAAGCCCGACCACCACGTCAAGGTAGCAGCAACGATCGGGAAGTATTATTCTAATGTTGAAGTTTTGCAATAACACTTTGAATCATGGTTGACGTTATTAGATCGACCCTAAATACCATAATGAGCAGGAAAATAAATACTGGGAGTTAAATAAATTGTCACTTAAAATCTCTACATCCACAACTCAATTTTCTTTGGTTTGAAAACTCAACTAATTTCAAGTGCTAATCGAACTAATACGATGGGTTATATGGCGAGACTATAATTTACGGACGAACCAATCACATTTAAAATAGCAGGTCTTGAGTTCTGGCGTGAAAATCATTCAACCAATTGATCGAATAGCGTTTTGGTATTTTAGCTGATGTCAGTTCGTGATGAAAACTCTAAACCTAATTCCTAACCCTAACCATCTGCCGTAAATCATGACCCTTATTCTTCAAACTGTTTTATAACCCTTATTTAGTCCTAGTTAGTGGGTGGATATGCTCAAGGTCACTTCAACGTCGCTCAAAGGTCGTCCATAAATAGTAGTCTTACCGTTGGTTGATCAAATAAAAATGTGGATTTAAAATAATTAAAATAACTAGCTAACCATAAATCTGCTATGTCCCAACAACACCAAAATACATACACTTAAGACCACTACAGTGAAAGCTTATGCAAAACTTAATGTTCAAAGGGTAAACAATTACATTGTTTTGGTCAGTATTTATTTTGAAAGTATAAATTTTATGACGGTTTTAGTAGTAAATTACATATTTTTGAAATCTCTTAAAGATATAAAAAGATATTTACCTGTAAGAAATATTTCCGTACATTTGATCGACTAGTGGTACTAATTGAGTTGGGAGGATCAAGTGTTTTTGGAGCACCTGGGCTTCCTGGTAATCCACTGATTGGCGACTGTTGACTACTTTGACTTGACATTTGATTCAAAGATGCAGAACTGGAGCCATGAATAAGGAAACCGTGAGTATGAGAGTCAGTAACAGAAGAGATGTGAGGTGTATTGATATCTGCATTAGGACGACCATAAAATACAGCAGATAATTCTGCGTACCCCATGTTTGTCTGCAGATTTATTTTCCGACCGTTATGCTTGCTTAAATAGAAGCTGAATAATAAAATTGCAAACAAAAATATCGTTACAACAATTCAAAATCTAGGAGATGGGTATAATTTAATTAAACTGAGAGCGATCATTGATTGTCCTAGTTTATCAAAATTGAAAATTCTATTGTGATAACCACGAAGAGAATAAATAATACGGTTTCTGGAATATACATTTCTACATCTAGTTGATGGTCAACGCGATCTCAAAATCAGCAAAAGAGAAAATGAAACAGGTTTCAAACCTAGCCGAGGATGTACTTCTCTTCAGGTTTCGAAACACAAGTATACTTAACCAAGATGAGACTGCAATCATATTGCTTAAACTAAAAGTGGAATTTGTAAAGGTTTAGTAGAAATGTTTATGAATGAAATTTTCCATTGAGGTATTTTTATTTACGTCAGAGCTTGTGGAACTCGGTACGTCAAGTGATGCTTACCAGTAGTATCCAGTAAACACTTTATTTTATTATATAACAGCTGTTTGCAAAAGAGATTCTATTAATCAACTATTCAGTCCCATGCGGGGACTTTTTTATTGACTTGTTGTTGACAAAACACAGCCTTTTGAATATCTTAAAAGACAACGACAGCATGTAGTCTGAAGTCAGAAAGCTAATAATCTCGAGAACTGGTAGTCATTGCGTAAATCCTTTGATTATTTACTTCCTCATAGATCTTGAGAATCACTGTCATTTCATATTTTTCTTTGTTACGCTGAAGAATGATACGGTAACGTAAACTGTTGAAAATTCGTGGCAGCTTCAACACAGTCCACAATTTATATGATTGCACAGTTCAAAATTAGACCTGAACTATTATTTCTAGCGGTAAATGGAAAGAAATACTGATAATTATGCGATTGTTTAAAAATCTGCAAAAAAACGGTGCACAACAAACCAAAAAGTTAAAGTTGCACGAAACACGTACAAAAGGTTACTAGTTGGTACATCTGTAAACTGGTGAGCGACTATTTGTTATTTGGTGCTTTATTAAGCACAAATTTTTTTAATCACCAAAACAAATACAAATTATTAAACACAAACCAAAGCACCAATATTACTCAAGCTACTAAAAAGACCGTTTCACTAATAAAATGAAACTCAATATTATAGACATTCAGCATACCGATTGTGACTGATTTTTGGGAAGACGGTTTATGTTTAAAACTTAGTTACACATTCGAAAATAAATACGATCATAATAACAATAGTCAATGTTTGTTCTGAAAAACACATGTGTACAAAATAACTTACTTTTTATAAACTGTAAACGCTGTATCAGCTTCTTCTGGTAATGCTTCATTAGAATTAGTTACTTGAGTTGGCCAAAGACCAGTAGTTAGTACACGAACGCACAGATCTAGGTTAAGATTGCGATTACCATTGGATAGTATTATGTTGAATTCGTCCATGAGGGTTTTAGACACTGCCATATCTTTAAACATTCCTTCTAGTTTACTTGTGTATACAGCACCACATTCGGCCATAAGCTTGGATATCATAATCTTTTCTTGATCATCTGACTGACTTTTACTTAATAACAGCCTTTTTGCCAGATGCTTCTTGTAATAACCTTCAAATAGATCCTTTTCCTGTAAATATCGGAACAAAACAATACACTTATCAAAAATGGCATCTACATCTTGGTCCGCCATACCTTTGGTGCCACGTTTTAGTTTCTCATCGATAAATAATGATAGAAATTCAGGAGAACGAGGATTTAAATTGACAAAGTACTCAAAATCAGAATTAATTTGATTACGAAATATTGTCTGATTATTAAGCGCTCTAGTTAATAATTCATTAGCGCAATCGCGTAATTGAAGCAAATCTTGAATGTGCTGTTGGGGTGTTGATGTCCCAGTATCACGTACAGTATTTCGTCCCTGCTCTCTCAAGTAAAGGCTAATGTAGTTACTCATTATTTTTGGTCCTTCTTCAACCCTACTTAAAACGCCGTACATAGCAGCGATATCACTGAAGTGATCATGAGTTAACATGTAAGTTAATCCTGAATCTTCCATACCGACAATAGTTTCCATGTGTCGACTGATAAGCTCCTCTTCTAATACGACAACGATTTTGGGTTCCGTGGACGGATCAAGATGATGATGTGCCCTTCGAACTTCCTCCTCAATTCTTTGTTTGACTTTTTTAATATACAGGGAAGCAGAAGTATTCTCAGCGAGGAAATTTTCACTTTCTGAGCGGTAAAATTCTCTTGACTGCTCCAAAAATGGTTGTTCAAAATCTTCCAGGTAAACACGTAATGAACCGGCCCCTAACTGCACAAACATCTGACAGGCATCTCGAACCTGAGAACGCGATATAACTTCACCCCGACGTTCCCTGCGCACCATATCCAACAGAGTTTTCTGCAAGTGCTCTCTAATAATTGGATAACGTACGACAAGATCGCAGAAAACAGTCATCCCCATTTTATAAACTCCATCCAGGTTATGGGGGCCGACGTAGACACGATCCATGTACATAAGAATATCACGAATCATCCCCATAGCAGTTTGGTGATCTTTCCAACACGAGTTAAGATAAGTTAAAAACTTATTATTTAGATTTTCAACAATACTATCGCGAATCTTGATCATATGTTCACGTACAACGGCCTCTGTTCCCGCATAGAGACGCTCACCATGCTTTTGTAATATCAAAGTGTACGCATTGCGGTAGAGTTCTTCAAAGCTCAAACAACTGTTATTTTTCTTTTGAATCTCGATTATAGCACTTTTAATCTGATCCCATAACTGATTGGCATATGTCTCATCTATTGAAGGAGGAAAAGCTTTAATTCGTACTTTGGCATTTGTCACTTCAGTTCGACGAGCACTGCTGCCTGTAGACATATTAGGTTTCTAAAACAAAAATTACATTAGAGAATAACTGCTTAATCTTAGTCATGATGTACATCGGATACAATAATGAGTTCGTCTTTATGGACTCAGTAAGTAATCGGAATATCCTCACAATCGCTACTCATAGCCGTTAACTAACCTGCGATTATCAAGGTTCGTACATGGAGATTATATCACAAATGAGGTCATTTAATACCTCTAGTTCTAGTCAGTCAGTTACAACGTAGAACTTCGTACGTACGTACATCAGTTCGAGTTGCTATACCAAATTAGCACAGAGATGAAGTTGTCGATTCAAATCCCATAATGGTAGAAGTAGTAAGAGTATAAGCACTATGTGAAAAATTAGGGTTTGAAGATGTTATTGAAGGAGTATAATACAATGAAATAAATTTGGAAAGAGAAAAAGGAAACAGACATGAAGAATTCAGAAGATTAGAATTTGGTAGAACACAAAGAGTGGATGCACCTTCGCCATTGCAGACAATTTTGAGCCATGTCATTCAAGGTCTCTAACCATCGATTGCTATCATCTCGCGAATCCCAACCAGGTAGTCTACACCTACCAACATGGCTCAGTCCACTTGTCAGTGACTTCATGGGTTTATGCCACGTTTTGGTCTGGCCGCCCTAGATTTCTTCCAACCTACTCTTACACCATAAAGCATTGCACGTCGGGGCAGTCGGAGACACTTACGATCGGGTACTAGCAGCCTACGAATGTCCTCTACTCTTACCGGCCTTGTTTCACTGCCATAAAGTAGGACGGAACGAACTGCTGCACAGTGAACCCGTCCTTTGGTTGCTAGACGGGTATCTCGCCTACGCCATAAATGACGCAGATTGGCAAAAGCTAGACGAGCCTTCTGTATTCGTGCTGAGATTTCATCACATACCAGACCACAAGGGCTGATGAGACTCCCAAGATAAGTGAAGTGGTCTACACGCTCAACTACTTCACTCCCTATCATTAGTTCAGGTGTCGCTGCAACCCAATCCTGAAGTAATATTTTGCATTTCGAGGGAGAGAATCGCATCCCGAACATGCCTGCATTGTTGCTCATAGTGGTCAGAAGACTCTGCATTTTGTCAGAGTCTTCACCGAATAAAACTGTCGACGGCGTATTCTAAGTCAACAAGTGAGCCTCCTGGTAAAAGTTCAACTCCAGGAGATTGAGATGATGAAAGTGATACCTCTAAAAGCATGTCAACAACAAAGTTAAACAAGAATGGGGAGAGTGGACAGCCCTGGCAAACACCACTTGAGGTAACCAATTCTGATGACGGTTCGCCATAGGCTCTAACTCGACCAGTTGTGTTTGAGTAGAGAGCCTTTATGAGGTTAATGTACTTCTTTGGTACTCCTTTCACTGACAAACACTGCCATAGAACCTCACGATCAACGGAGTCAAATGCCGCCTTAAGGTCAAGAAATACTACTATTGTGGGACGTCTGAATGTATGTTTATGTTCTAGAACCTGACGTAGAGTGAATATCTGGTCTATGCAACCACGTCCAGGTCGAAAACCAGCCAGGTTTTCTCTAGTCTGCTCTTCACGAGCTTTGGTTAGGCGTCCAAGTATTATTGAAGCTAATATTTTAGACACTATATTAGTCAAACTGATTCCTCTGTGATTGTCACAGGAGGACTTTTGTCCTTTCTTATAGACTGGCACAATCAGTGATTGGGACCAGTCAGATGGAATTACGTCCAGTTTCCAGATTCTACCTAAGACCTCAGTCAATCTCGTTGCTAGTACTGGACCACCATCCTTAAAAATCTCAGGGGTAAACTTGTCAGGGCCTACGGTTCTCCCTCGCTTTAGATTTCGTATAGCTTTTTCAACCTCGTAGAGACTTGGAGGACTTACATCAATTTGCCACTCAGGACGACTAGGGATGGTGGGTAACTGAAGTGTGGCTGAAGGCCAGTTGAACTGATCCCTAAAGTGTTCTGCCCATCGATCTAATCTCCTGGATTGAGAATCAATGATATGCCTTTGTCTGAGATAGTTTCGCTAATAGTTGGGTTCCTAATGCCGGATTCTTTAATAAGTCTGAACAGCTGTCTGCTGTTACCTATTGCCGCTGCCTTTTCCATCTCTCTTGCTTTCGCTACCCACCACTGTTCACGATCATTGCGTAGGCTTCTTATTAGCCTTCGCTTAAGCTGACTCCGCTCTTCGTTATTTTCAGAGCCAGGAGGGATGAGTTTTCGAGCATCTATCAGTGCGGTAGATGCTGCCGAGATCCATTGTTTCTCCCTGACCTTATGGCTTACCTTACTAGCGGATATCACAGCTGTTTCCACAGCTTTTCGGATGTCATTCCACGCTGCTTCGGGCTGGACACAACTTACATGTCTGTCTAACTGTTTTTCCAGTTGTTCCTGAAATATATTCTTAGCTTGCTTATCATTAAGTAGAAACCTTAGAGGCTTCCCTGCAGTTTCTTTCCTACGTCCAGTAAGTTGCGGACAGATATGTGCTCGCACTAAAGCATGATCTGAATCTAAGCATGTGCCCCAGAATGAGCGACAGTCTTCTATCGAGCCCCTCCATCGGTGGCTGATAGCGATGTGATCTAATTGGGTCCAACGTTGGGACGAACTCGGGGGTCGCCATGTCAAAAGATGTTTTTCCTCATGCTTAAAGTTAGTATTTGCAAGAAATAGGCGGTTATCTGAGCACAGCTGCAACAGACGGTCGCCATTATCTGTTCTTTCCGCCATGACACCATAAGATCCTCCCAGGTGTCTTTCCCTTTCACTTAGTTTACCTACTTGAGCATTAAAGTCACCAGCCGCTATTACTACATCAGAACGCCTAGCTTTTCAGAGGTCAGAAAGTTTCCTGTAAAACTCATCTTTTATATCGTCTGAGCTACAGTCAGTGGGAGAGAAGACAGAGATGACGAAGAGACAACGACGAGTTTCCCTATCTTTCCGAGTCCTTACTGACCCGTTTAGTCGGACAGCGCATAGACGACTGTCTACTGGGATCCAGTCTAAAAGAGCTAGTTCTGCCCTAGGACTTAATGCTATACCTACTCCAGCGAGGCCACGGGAAGCAGCATTAGGGCTTCCAGATACACACTTCGTGTATCGAGATGGTTCTTTATTTTGATTATGTGAGGTCAAATGAGTGACGCTACTCGGATCTTGTACGTGCGTTTCGGAGACGCAGCATACATCGACGGTGTAAGATTCTAGAGTCCTAGCTAAGGAAGCCTGTTGTCTTATTTGGCACAATGTTCGGACATTAAAAGTTCCTACATGTAGTTTACAGCGAGGTTTCAGGAGACCAGGAATAACGTTCCGTGTACACGAATCGTCTGCCCTAGCGGTGCGAGGTGATAAAAGGACGTGGGAAGGGTTAGTCGTGGAGATAAGAGAGTTGTTAGGAGGTGTAGGAAGGATTTGAAAGTGACCAACTTGGTCTCGTGTGCTGTTACGGGTATGAGGGCATTTATCACTTCCCAGCTGCCCACACCGTGGAAGGGTATTTCTTGAGGGACCTGAAAAAGAAGTTGGATTAGTGTTGGTCTGAACGACCTGGGAGCGTGACCGCAGTGCCCAAGGGACAACTGCTTGAGGCCGGTCACACACGGCCCTTTTGTGGGGATTTTTGAAGTGCTAGCTCCGTTCTTCAAAAAAAAACCTTACCGCCGGAGACGGAAATCCGTGGGATAAGGCGAGGTGTGCATTTTTAGGGTCGACCTTTTCTAACCCCACCCCTCCTTGTGGGAAGGCAGCATCGCTGTCATGTTGGTTGTCTGAAGGAAACACCTTACTGCCGTCACACCTCTGTACAGTCAGCAGTACGACTTCGCCTTCGGACCTTGGGATTGCTGCTTTTAGTCTCACCGCTCTTCAACCGACCTGTCTGGCATGGTAGGACCTCGAGGAACGATTGTTCCAGCCAGCATAGCTCGATTGCTTCATCACGATAGGCAAGCCCGACCACCACGTCAAGGTAACAGCAACGGTATATGTGTGCAGTGAAAAATGCAGGAAATTTTACAACAATGGATAGTTGTCCACTTAATTGTTTTGAGGCGAGGTCAATAAAAAGTCACTTCTTGAATTTTAATAACGTTAAATCTGACAATCAACAGTCGATCTACATGAGTGAATACCGACTTTTTACTCAATTTTGTTCTGATATAGAACCTCAGCGAAAAAATCACGATATGAAAGACTTCAAGTCTTGCTCTCGTATTTTTGGAGTAGATTTTAGATGTAAAAGAAAGGTTTTTCCCCTAAATTTCTGGACATGTTACACAAGACCAAGTTTTAGGTGAACCCCAGGTACTTGAATATAAGATACACTTTAAGTGAGGAATAATGATACCAATCAAACTGAAAAAAGGTGGGGGAGCAATTGAACCTGGAACTTAGTGGCCATAAGTTGGACGCCTTAAACAATAAGCAACCACTCCACTAAGTCTACAGCTGGAGCTTAGAAAAATATGTAATTCAAGTTTTAAATAGCAGTATTTGGTATTCGCACATAAAAACTGGGACTAAAGTAACTGTGACTAATTACAGATTCAAATGCATTTACATGGAATGGTCCATTTAAATCATGTTCAAATTTTAGTCAGTACATCACAAGTTTGAGTAACACTACCTACTCCGGTTTGGCTAGCCTGATAGTATCACTAATCCTCGCACCAGGTGACTCAGAGCTGAGTACATAAATAGGTACTTCGTAAATGAGTTACGTCACTATACCTTATTTATTTTTTATTCATTTAAACACATGAATATTGGTACAAAAAAGCACCAGATAAATATGCGCCTCACAAATCTCATTTGATTTGCGTGAGGGCTGTGATACTGCCCAGATGCCCAGGCTGAAGCAGGTGGTTTTCTTAGGGAGCCACACCCCGAGTCTTTGACCTAAAGGCCTGATCCACAAGGCAGTGTAGCATCGTGAGGAGATGCAGTCCCATGGTAGCCGGTGACCGACGATTGATTCATACGCCATTTGTTCCTTCATGATACTGGAGCCCATGTGCACCACTGGTTTGGAATCAGGGTTTTCCAACTCCCCTAGGTGGACTCCCTGTATCCACTAATAACCCAGTTACAGTGCTGGACATTCGCTTTTCGTCCTCTCAATTTCGTAAACAACGCCCCCGCCACGACAAGGCAGTGAGTAGGACTTCCCTGGCAGAGGCTATATATTCGCGTGGCCATGAAAGAGCATTTAGAGGGAGAGCGGACTCTCCCCACTCTCGGCCGTACCAGGGCATTTGGGGGTACGTCACTATATCTCAACAAAATTGTAACAGCTTAGGTGATACCATTGATCAAAACAGAGCTAGAGCAATTAAAAGTCTATCAAGAACACATTAGAAACAAATAGTACCTGGTATCTTTCGAGAGTTAACTAAATCTACTAAAGTTTTTGAACCATAACGAAGTCTGTATTAAGTCGACGTAGACGGATAAAGTTATCACGGAAATGTACTTTTATGAGTTAGAACAAGATATTACTCAGAAATCAGAATCCTAGCTACAATGACGTGGTGGAGTGAGTAATATTCATTCATTACTCTTGATAATGAGTCAAGGAATCTAAAGAAAAACCCATCAGGCAATTAAGTGTGACGACATTCCAGTACGTTGAGTCTAGTTTCCTGTGGCTCTGTGGAGGGGGAATCCTTTGGTAATTGATATCAACCGGGTATACAATAAACATCCCGTACACATAAAATAATCACGCTTTTACTATTCCTTGGGATCTGTATTTTCGATAGGATTAAACTATACTGCCGACCCTTGAACGAATCTTAAATGACCTTGAGAAATATTAGCCAATCAGAAGACAGTTTGTATACAGTAAAAATTTACCATACAAAACCAAAGAATTAAAGTGGAAACACTTCTTTTACATAAGTCAAAAACTTCTGAAGGTCAGATATAGGTTCACAAGTTCTGAAATCATGGTGCATACGGTTCAGGAGCACATTCATATAGCTTCATAGTAGTCGACCTCTGAAACCATGATAAGGTCTCAAAAATCCCTTTAGCCTCGACCACATAGCTTCAATAATGTTAGTATATTGGTATGGTTTACGATTTAGGGTTAGAGTTAAGGTTTCGGGTTAAGGGTGAGACTATAATTTATGAATGACCTTTGAGCGACGCTAGAGTGACTCTGAGAGTGTCAAATAATAACTAAGACCAAATGAGGGTTATAAACCTGTAAGAAGAATTCAAATTATTATTTACAGTTCATGGTTAAGGTTAGGAATTATACTTAGGTTTTTCATCACGAACTGACATCAGCTATAATGCCAAAAATCTATTTATCCAAATGGGTAATTGAATTTCGCACCAAAATCTTATGATCACTTCTCTTGTAGACGCTGAATTATCACGTCTTTCCTAAAATCCGCTGTAAAGCGATCCTACGTAAGCATCAAGTACCGAACCTAGCGCCGTGACCTTGAAAACCCGCGAAAGCTTCTGATTGGTTCGGCAGTATAATTTAATCCTACCGACCTACCAGGAGAGAAGTGATTCGCAAAGCAGGCTGACTGTCTGTTTAATGACTATAGTCCGTCGATCAGCCACCACTACAATTAGCTTTACTATATCAGTATGTGAGGGGTTCGTTAGTTCATAGCAAAAGTGCAATTACGCTGTGCTTATCAGTATTCTAACTTTTAAGCTCAGTAAGCAATTGAGTAGTCCAGTATATCAAACAAAAGAAATGAGCGTCCCAAACAACGATAATAAATGCAACTGTTTTGACGGATCCATTTCAGGGGTCGGGAGTGATCATCAGCAAACACAGACATTCATATACATGCGTAGAACCTGCTTGTCATCACTTTGAATAGCGACATATTCTTGGATCAGTCATGTTTTTTCCCAATTATGACACAGACTAATTATTCAGAATCATCTACATGCTAACTCTCATTACTAGTCTTAACTCTTTTCAGTTAACTAATAGTGGGAGTGTTGGTTTTCAAGAGCCCAGATCACAGGAAGATGGACTTCAGTTTGCACAGAGAAGGGCTACAAATGTAAGATCGAAATTCAAACCAACTACTCACAGATGAGATAAACCTGCTATGGAAAATAATTTACACAATATCCGCTCAAAAAGTCGAGCATGTAGGAGCTGCTCATAGGTTATACTGAGAACTATGATTATATTCAAATAGTGAGAACTAGCTGTTAATTTTGCATTCAAAACTAACAAATAGGTTCGACGTATATCCCAATATACATCCCAATTACATCTTGAATACTTGCAAAGAATTAAATAAGGTCACATGGAGACTTTTTTAAAGAACATGAGTTAGTGATTTAGGAAACAATGTTATGTATGACTTGAAATATGTCTCAAATACTATACTAACCAACTAAATGACACACCACCGTCTCAGACCATAAGCTGCGCCTCAGGTACGGGTCTAAACAAATAATCTTTTCATCGATGAGAGAATGGAAATCCATTAGAATGTCTTGATCTTGTTTTGGAAAGAATAAGATCCCTTATCTGAGGTTCCCTCTTCCTACTCTTAATGGATCACTGATGTCCGGACATGAGTGGTGGTCCCAATGAAGGAAGTGAATGACGTAGCTTAAGATCTCACATATACATCTTGAATGCTTAAACATATGGATACCGCTTTTGATCGTATTTAAAAACACCTACTCAGCCGCTGTAAGCATTTTTAGAGGTAAATAAATCCCAAAAATATAAAGTTCTGTAAGTCTTCGACATTGGCACGAGATTCACGGGTTTGACATAACACACCTCATATGAAGGTGCTCGATCAAGCATCCGCATCAGATCACGAGTGAGTAAGCCGTGCTGCGCATCTATTACAACGACTAGCCAACTTAGATCAAACACTCTTCAACTTATCCGGAACTTTCCGAATATATCTTCGAACTCCTTCATTCTTGACTTGTGATTTGACTGATTTAGTATCTACTAGCTATAAAAGTGTTAAGAACATATATGCGTATCATCATAAGAGCCTAACTTTATATACATTTTAATGCCATTACCTAAAAGAATGTTTCGCCAGAATTCAAGGTAGACTCAACAGACAATTTAATCACATAATGATGAATCTGTAGATGGCGTCGAGTCTCGATTGACTATGATCACTACTACAGTAAGATTACGCGCCCGAAATCAACTTAATTCCTTTTATTGCTCGTAAACCAGGTCACTACAAATTCTTCGTGTCGGACTTTCCCTTCAATGAATTCTTTCGTCCTCTAGGGACATTGAAATGTCACTGAGCCCTAGCCAAATCATCCGGCAGTTAGGTCACTGAGTATGGAACAGATCGTCGGTCCCTGTCAAAGCTATTGCGGTAAATAAATCCCCGAAATCAACTGCTCTGTGAATGTTCGACACTGGGTGCTGACCACATTAGTTTTAATGGATTCGTCTAGCTGAGGGCGCTCGGCCGTGCATCCGCACCAGGTTACGAGTGGAAACGCTGTGCTCAAATTCTCCTGCGAACAATAGCCAGTTTAGATCAGTTACTTCTCGATATATTGACAATCTATCAAATATATCTTCAAACCTCCTCGCTTCTGACTTTTCATTTCACTGGGTGTGCGCGATTCAATTATAGGTGTTACTGGTAAAGTGTTGTCCAACTAAAATACCTGTGGTATCTTCATTGGTGAGCCCCACGTGATCTGGTACACCAACGTATAACTGTGAGTCTGTTCCTTTTTGGAATTTCATAAATCATTGCTTAATTTAAACTTTTATATATCGTGATATTTTTTGAGTTTCCGGATATATTTTATTTTTTTCTTCGTTCATTATCATACTTGATTTTTCACTATGACGGAACAGACGCCCAAAGTACTTAAGCTAAAGACTATGTCCCCACCTTCGTTTCAACTAATGCCCTTCCGACCAAAGAACATCAAAGCCTGGTTCTGCTACGCAGAGGCCGATTTACATGTGCGCAGAATGACTGATTCATGCGCACATTTACTCGCGGTTGTAAAGGCACTACCGCGTGAATTCAACAGGTACGTCACACCTAGAATCTTTAATAGTGATGTTTCGGAACCTTACGCAACCGTAAAACAGTCGATTCTGAAACGCTGATATCTAACCGCTTGACAAAAGTTAGATCAACTCCTTAATAATATCGACCTGCAACATGGTTTTGCGATAGACATGTTGCTAAGAATGAGAGAGGTTACCGGCCAAAAAACTTTTGATGATGGCCTATTTAGACAACTTTTCTTATCTTAAAAGTGAAGTATGCATGTAGTATACGGATAGAGTTCCTTAACGTATCCGTTGTTGCTTGAGTGGGTGATCGCGAAAACGTACGGGTAAGCGTACTCAGCGACCGAAACGTAAGACGCTTGTTTCGTTCGTACCTCGTGAGCCTGCAATCTCATCCAAAGTCACTGGCGGCGTGGTCTGCTGATGTGGACGAGAGACCAAAGTTTCGTCCGTGGACGGTGCAGATGACACGTGTTGTTGACTAGGACATGAGAATGAGGTCTCTGATGGGTCCAGCATTGATTCTTGGCTTATCAGGTAGGGTACTGTCATCGACGTGTGCTGGCTTGAGACGATCGATGCTGACTATTTCGTTGCGGATCTGTCGATCAACCTTGGAGGTCTTTTGGTTAGGAGAAATCATGTGAAAAAGTCCTCCGTAAGGCTATTGAAAAGGTTTGCGTACGGAATCTGCTTATATCGACGGTGTAAGATTCTAGAGTCCTAGCTAAGGAAGCCTGTTGTCTTATTTGGCACAATGTTCGGACATTAAAAGTTCCTACATGTAGTTTACAGCGAGGTTTCAGGAGACCAGGAATAACGTTCCGTGTACACGAATCGTCTGCCCTAGCGGTGCGAGGTGATAAAAGGACGTGGGAAGGGTTAGTCGTGGAGATAAGAGAGTTGTTAGGAGGTGTAGGAAGGATTTGAAAGTGACCAACTTGGTCTCGTGTGCTGTTACGGGTATGAGGGCATTTATCACTTCCCAGCTGCCCACACCGTGGAAGGGTATTTCTTGAGGGACCTGAAAAAGAAGTTGGATTAGTGTTGGTCTGAGCGACCTGGGAGCGTGACCGCAGTGCCCAAGGGACAACTGCTTGAGGCCGGTCACACACGGCCCTTTTGTGGGGATTTTTGAAGTGCTAGCTCCGTTCTTCAAAAAAAAACCTTACCGCCGGAGACGGAAATCCGTGGGATAAGGCGAGGTGTGCATTTTTAGGGTCGACCTTTTCTAACCCCACCCCTCCTTGTGGGAAGGCAGCACCGCTGTCATGTTGGTTGTCTGAAGGAAACACCTTACTGCCGTCACACCTCTGTACAGTCAGCAGTACGACTTCGCCTTCGGACCTTGGGATTGCTGCTTTTAGTCTCACCGCTCTTCAACCGACCTGTCTGGCATGGTAGGACCTCGAGGAACGATTGTTCCAGCCAGCATAGCTCGATTGCTTCATCACGATAGGCAAGCCCGACCACCACGTCAAGGTAACAGCAACGGTATATGTGTGCAGTGAAAAATGCAGGAAATTTTACAACAATGGATAGTTGTCCACTTAATTGTTTTGAGGCGAGGTCAATAAAAAGTCACTTCTTGAATTTTAATAACGTTAAATCTGACAATCAACAGTCGATCTACATGAGTGAATACCGACTTTTTACTCAATTTTGTTCTGATATAGAACCTCAGCGAAAAAATCACGATATGAAAGACTTCAAGTCTTGCTCTCGTATTTTTGGAGTAGATTTTAGATGTAAAAGAAAGGTTTTTCCCCTAAATTTCTGGACATGTTACACAAGACCAAGTTTTAGGTGAACCCCAGGTACTTGAATATAAGATACACTTTAAGTGAGGAATAATGATACCAATCAAACTGAAAAAAGGTGGGGGAGCAATTGAACCTGGAACTTAGTGGCCATAAGTTGGACGCCTTAAACAATAAGCAACCACTCCACTAAGTCTACAGCTGGAGCTTAGAAAAATATGTAATTCAAGTTTTAAATAGCAGTATTTGGTATTCGCACATAAAAACTGGGACTAAAGTAACTGTGACTAATTACAGATTCAAATGCATTTACATGGAATGGTCCATTTAAATCATGTTCAAATTTTAGTCAGTACATCACAAGTTTGAGTAACACTACCTACTCCGGTTTGGCTAGCCTGATAGTATCACTAATCCTCGCACCAGGTGACTCAGAGCTGAGTACATAAATAGGTACTTCGTAAATGAGTTACGTCACTATACCTTATTTATTTTTTATTCATTTAAACACATGAATATTGGTACAAAAAAGCACCAGATAAATATGCGCCTCACAAATCTCATTTGATTTGCGTGAGGGCTGTGATACTGCCCAGATGCCCAGGCTGAAGCAGGTGGTTTTCTTAGGGAGCCACACCCCGAGTCTTTGACCTAAAGGCCTGATCCACAAGGCAGTGTAGCATCGTGAGGAGATGCAGTCCCATGGTAGCCGGTGACCGACGATTGATTCATACGCCATTTGTTCCTTCATGATACTGGAGCCCATGTGCACCACTGGTTTGGAATCAGGGTTTTCCAACTCCCCTAGGTGGACTCCCTGTATCCACTAATAACCCAGTTACAGTGCTGGACATTCGCTTTTCGTCCTCTCAATTTCGTAAACAACGCCCCCGCCACGACAAGGCAGTGAGTAGGACTTCCCTGGCAGAGGCTATATATTCGCGTGGCCATGAAAGAGCATTTAGAGGGAGAGCGGACTCTCCCCACTCTCGGCCGTACCAGGGCATTTGGGGGTACGTCACTATATCTCAACAAAATTGTAACAGCTTAGGTGATACCATTGATCAAAACAGAGCTAGAGCAATTAAAAGTCTATCAAGAACACATTAGAAACAAATAGTACCTGGTATCTTTCGAGAGTTAACTAAATCTACTAAAGTTTTTGAACCATAACGAAGTCTGTATTAAGTCGACGTAGACGGATAAAGTTATCACGGAAATGTACTTTTATGAGTTAGAACAAGATATTACTCAGAAATCAGAATCCTAGCTACAATGACGTGGTGGAGTGAGTAATATTCATTCATTACTCTTGATAATGAGTCAAGGAATCTAAAGAAAAACCCATCAGGCAATTAAGTGTGACGACATTCCAGTACGTTGAGTCTAGTTTCCTGTGGCTCTGTGGAGGGGGAATCCTTTGGTAATTGATATCAACCGGGTATACAATAAACATCCCGTACACATAAAATAATCACGCTTTTACTATTCCTTGGGATCTGTATTTTCGATAGGATTAAACTATACTGCCGACCCTTGAACGAATCTTAAATGACCTTGAGAAATATTAGCCAATCAGAAGACAGTTTGTATACAGTAAAAATTTACCATACAAAACCAAAGAATTAAAGTGGAAACACTTCTTTTACATAAGTCAAAAACTTCT